CTCGCCCGAGGTGCGATTCCCGTCCCAAGGAGAAGATACATAAGTGAGAAATATTTGGGACAGCCAAACCTGCCATGGACTGCTGTACATAGCGCTGTAATGCCATTTATCCACATCGTCGTTAGCACTACAGTGCTTTTGCAGGCGAGATTACAACATAAAACAACATTGCAATTCATGCACCAGGTCTCAAAGCATATCGTGCGCAAGCTTGCGCCGCCCACCGCCAACCTCCGGTTGGCTGGGTGGGCAGCGCACCTGCGCACGCGGCGCGGCAAAGCAGGGCGCCAAATGGCGCGCGTCTATTAGGCTCCTGTCCAACCTCCTATCCTGCCACCTCGAATCCAAGATACCGATTCCAGGGGGAATCGCAACGCATCGGAGGTAGGCTGGGTTACGATATCAACGGCGGCCTCGACAATGTGAACTAGCGCTTGGCTGTTATTGCGACGTGGCTCGCACATACATACACACATGCTACGCTATATACAGGTAATGTACGCTAGATACTCTCTGAACTAACGGCGTATCTTGACACCATGTAGTTTCTGGCAAACGCAGTGATTACGAGAAGATCTCCGCCGTCAGTGAGTTAGGGTGGAATACATAGTTGTTAGCTTAACGTACGATCAGAGCTGAGCGACAAGCTGTACCGCATTGCTTGAACGCGGTCGTATCACACGGGGGAATGGCGCAGGGTGGCTGCCGACGACTAAGTACTCATTCTTGTTCGTCAACAGCAGGGAGATACTGACCACGTAAGGCCAGGGAGCCAATCGAGCTCGGGGATGATGTCTTGTCCCTTGCCGTCCTTTGCCGGTACGATCTCGAAAGCGGTAAGGAACGATGCGATGGCAATCCAGACGCTGGCGTCGCCCAGATACCGCCCCGGGCATATCCTAGCGAATGATCAACCAACTTGCGACCGTTAAGAGATGTCATGCGAGAGCACTCACCTGCGTCCCCAGCCAAAATTGATATTCACGGGCGACCGCTCAGGCTCAGGCGAGAGGAAGCGTTCGGGCCGGAATTCGGCAGGGTTGCTGTACACCCTGTCGTCCATGGACATCGCGCTGTTGAAAACAGCATCAAGATGAGTCAATTATATGCAGAGACGGGGATTTAACAGAAGGGATACGTACGCGTTGTTGAAAAGGACTATAGCATCCTTGGGAATGTACATGCCTCGGTATACGTCGTCCGCGGTGCTACTGTGTGGCAAACCTGTTGTGAACCATGATCCTGTTATCTTGATAAAGCCATCGACCAGATTCAAACTTACCAAGCTGGGCATTCGGATGCCACCTCACCGTCTCCTGGATGACGGCCTCGAGGTAGGGAAGTGACTCACGATCATTGAAGTCGGGTAACCTCTTCCCCCCGAGAACTCCGTCCAGCTCATCCTGCGCCTTACGCTGAACCTCGGGATGGAGAAGCAGCATCGCAATAATAGATAGGAGTGATGACCATGTCTACGACTAAGGTCAGTACTGAGATAAAACACGAGCTGCGGAGATACTGACTGCATGTGCTCCAGCCCCGTACATCTGCACCGAAGCAACTTTTACAGCCTGCAAATCCTCAAGGCTTGCTCCTCCTGTCCGTTCTAGTTCCTCAATATGCATTGACGTGAAGCTGGGGGTGGCATTTCCAGCAGCCTATATGCTACAATCAGCACAAGCGTGCGGAGTGGTGACGCATCAACGGGACACTTGCCATCTGTTGGCGCACCCGCTCGAATGGCATGTTCCGCATGTGCTGAACAAACGGCGCCGCATCTGAGCAACTGTACATGAACCGCAAACGATGGGTTGTTCCAAGGAAGGCGTACCTTTTGCGAGGCGACCGAACCAGTTCCCCGGAAACCATCTCGGCAGGTATTTGACTGCAGACTGTCAATGAACTGCTCAGAACGTGAAGAAGCTATGCGTACGTGAAGGGAAGAAGTCGAGAATAGTCAGAGAGTTGCCTGCTTCTGTGGAAATGCTGGTTGTTTTCTCCATCATGCAGACGTAAGGGTCGTCATCGGAAGTGATTTTGTGCCCGTACGCTATCTCCATGATAACTGCAGTAGCAAATCTGCGATACACGATCAGATTCTCAGATAGATTAGCCTCACTTTGTTGAATTCATACCGTCGCACGTGATCGTCGAGATGCTCTGGGTCCAGCAGAACTTTCTTCAGCAGCACATGGGCCTGAGACAGCTGACTCGGCCGAAATACGACACAGCCTTGCTTCGTGAACGCCTGTCGGAAGAGCTTGCGCTGCTTGTGAAATTGCTCCCCGTAAGGCAGGAATCCGAGCATGTCTGTCCACCCAATCCTGTCATATCGTCATGAGTATCGTCAAATGACATTAAAAGCGGTACCAGACGTACATCTCATGGACGGTGGACGGTGGACGGCTGCTATATATTGCACTCCGCTTTTCCAACAGGTCCGATGCGGCTTCATGACTGCTAAGAACGACGAGTGATTTTCCCAAGATGTTGAAGTACATCACGTCACCTGCGAATCCCTGATCAGTCGTTAGCTTGCGAGAAGTGTACGAGGGGCGTACCGTATTTCCTGGCCAATTTCGTGAGACCCGCGGGCGTGTCGTTGGCAGGAAAGGACCGAAGATTGCCAATTAATGGATCCGCAGGCGGACCTGGAGGGAACGGGGTAGGTCGTCTGTGCTGGTTCCAGAGTGCTCTGTAAACAAGGAACACCAAAAAGGAGAGGACTGTGGCTAAGCTATAAGACCACAACATTCCGGCTAGAGAGTGGATAGGAACTGGCAGGAAGATGCACACCACACGCTTTATAAGATCTCCAATAAAATCACCAGTCCGCTCCCTACATGAAATGGTGGTGACGGGAATCTTCATTCCTTCTGTCAGCGAATGTATACGTAGTGGCAGAGAGCTGGGGCGGGGACCTGATTACTTCCACTAAGCCAATTATGTGGTCCTCCGATGGCAAGCAGCTTTGTGGCCACTAGTGCCAGTGACGGAGATTATGAATCATAGTCTACCGACCCAGGCGACATGACCGGGGATATCATCGCGCGTCCAAAGAACTAATATGGACACACAGGACTTGCGGGCCTACCACGAATGTTCTGGAGATTTAGGGAGGGGTTGGATGCGCTCGCTGCCCGGCCGATTTGAGCGGGCATGTCCTAGAATGAAGGCGGGGCCTAGAGAACGAAGTTAGCTCAGTTCAAATCAGCTAACACTAATACGTGCATTTTGTGATTAATTTTAATGGCATGGGCGAGGAACGCGGCAGCGAGTGTGGCTGCGAAGAGACTAATTAGACGGGTGGACACCACCGTGACGTGCACCGTGAATTCCACCTTGTCGAGGCAGGTCGAGGCGAACGATCCCGTACATACGATAAATTGACGTCGCGTACAAGCCACTGGATAGCCCATCAGGAATGACATCATGTCCAGCAAAGCAAGGCCGCATAACGGATTGACGTCTGTGATACAGTAATGCTGATGTTGAAACTGAGCTGATTCAGTTCGGCGGCCTAGACACGGGAACTTATTAAGTTACACCGGACTAGCCACTCAGAAGCGCCCATGAGTGGCTAAGACACTGAAAAGCCCAAAAAATGGCGTGGGCAGAAATCAAACCCGCAGCCTGAAAGTAACCACACCGCGCTATACCACTAAGGCATAAGACCTTGCAAACATTGGGTTGGAATTGGCCTATAATACCACTTTTCCACCTTAGTCTTAGCTGCCCAAAGTCATATTAGCCGATTATTAGGTATTAAAGCAATGGAATGTAATTGTACAAAGGTGTATTCTGATGTTATGGCTAAGACACTGGTGTGGCTAAGACACCAGCATGGCTAAGACATTGAGATATTAAATATCTGCTATTGATTCTGCTTATTGTACATATGTATATTCTAATGGCATGGTTAAAGCACCAGTGTGGCCCAGACACCTGAGTAGATGAATTATACTCAAGTGGAATCAATGGCAAATATTTAATGTCTCAATGTCCTAGCCATGCTGGTGTCTTAGCCACGCTGGTGTCTTAGCCACATCAGTGTCTTAGCTGCCCAAAGTCCTATATTTTAGCCAATTATTATGTATTAAAGCAATGGAATGTAATTGTACAAAGGCAGATTCTGATGTTATGTATCAAGGGTGTTA